CGGTTACGATGCCTAGAGTACGGAGACCTGTACGATTTCGTCAACTTAGTGAGTTTGATAGGGGCCGTATAGTGGGACTTCGGGAAGCTGGACTTTCTTTTCGGGCAATTGCAGTTAGAGTACAAAGAAGTGTAGACACTGTGGTTAGGTGTTGTCAGGCAAGGCTTCGAGAAGGCCGTACGCAAAGAGCAAGGGGCACTGGACGCCGCCGTAGAACAACAGACCGTGAAGATCGCCGCCTAAGATTATTGGCCTTAAGGGACCGTTTCTCCACTACCAGGTTCATTGCAAATGAATGGTTTGCAGAACACGGAAGACCTATTGGCATGCGAAGTGTTTACCGACGAATGAGAAGTTTTGGCTTGTTTTCATACCGGCCACACCCCAACACCGATGTAATCGCGTTGAGTGGTGCAGACAACGGTCACTCTGGGATCAGGAATGGAACAGTATTGTCTTTAGTGACGAGTCTCGATTTTGTTTAGACATGCACGATGGTGGTGCCAGGGTTAGGAGGCGACGTGGTGAAAGGAGGAATCCACAGTTTTTTGTTGAAAGACATGTTCATCACACTGTTGGAGTTATGGTTTGGGGTGCTATAGCTTATGGTTCCAGGTCACCTTTGATCTTCATCAGAGGTAACATGAACGCGCAGCGTTATATCCACGATGTTCTAGAACCTCATCTTTTACCCTATCTTGACATTCTGGCAGATCCAACTTTCCAACAAGATAATGCCCGACCACATGTTGCAAGAGTCACAATAGACTTCTTTCAACATAATGATGTCACATTGTTACCATGGCCACCAAGATCTCCCGACTTATTCCCAATTGAGCACGTGTGGGATATGATGGGTAGGAGGTTGCTCAATTTGCAACGTCCTCCTCAGACTCAAGAAGCACTTCGAGAGGAGTTGATGGTTCCCTGGAATGAGATACCACAGGAGGACATTGACCACCTGATCAGAAGCATGCCTAGGCGCGTTGGAGAATGCGTAGCACATCAGGGTGCATGCACACATTGTTAAAGGTCAAAGGGCTTTAAAGCAGTGCAATCATTTTGAAATTTTTATCATTTACTTACTATGCTTCATTAAGTACTTATACAAAAATCTATTAAAATAAAACTATTTAAACTGGGTGTTCGAATTTATATGTCACTTAGTATATTTTGCACACGCAGTAATTTTGAAATATATCATTTAAATATATATTAAAAAGCAGTGGACCCAAAACGGTTCCCTCAGGGACTGTTGAACACCTCGTTCCTGAAAAATTTTGATACTTTAACGGGTTGCTGTCTGTTGGATAAGTAATTTTCTAGTAATGAGTTCTCCGAAGGCCAATGCAATAATTTATGGTTTACTGTGTCGAAAACAAAAATACAAAGACTAGGAGTTTTGTTATCAAGATTTTGGTGTATTTGATTAACAACATCTAATATTGCGCCTGATGTACACTTCCCCTCAGTAAATTCATGCTGGTTTTATAATAATAACAACAATCGAATTTATTCAAACTGCAGAAGACATTACAGAAAAAAAGTTGTAAATGGTGGCGGAGTCTAGCTGTCTACTCGTACTGTTAACCACCCATGCAAAAAAAAGTTACCTAACAACTTTTGTTGCAGTCATAAAAAACCAAAAAAATGTACGTTGCGTAAAAGTTTACCATATACACAAAGAAAGAAAAAAATCAATAACAAAGCAACAATAAATCATGGATCCAAGCTGGTTTGAGATGTACAGCTCTCTTGAAGCAATCTGGGACACGTTTTTAAGGTCAGGACTCGAAGCATTGTATAAAACTCCAGCACTGTATGTGAAAGAACGCTGAAATAAAGTTGTACAGTAAGAAGGAGTACTTATGATATTTGTACACTATACCTAAAGATCAACTTCTCTCAAGTATACAGGACCGGACAATTAGTGTTAGTTTAAAAATCAATAATAAAAACTATATGTGACAATATGTTATGTTTTCTTCCAGTTAGATTTTTTAAAGCTACCAGAAACATGATCAAAGCGCCCTAATCCGCAACTCAACCTAGCACCGCTATTTTGCACAATTTGAACCCGATTTCAAAACACTGCTAATGTAAAATATCACAGTGGACGAAATTGGATAGCCAAAGAATTTTTTCGTTTAGTTAAAAATTAAAAACTTTATTAGTTTATTGTGATTTCAGACTCAAATAGGTTTTCTTTAACTGGTTCTCGACATGACTGGTGAATCTAAGTTTGGAAACAATAATTACGCCAAGAATTTTAATCTCATCAACCGGATACAGCCTTTTCACATCTACAATAGTGCGGAAAGTGATACTTTTCGGCAAGTGTATAAGATTTTTTCTAACAGCGCCGCACGAGAAAGCAATAAACCCAGAATTTTAAATACATGCGTTCTATGTTTTATTAGAAATTTAATAATTGTAACATCAGCATCATGAACAACATCAACAATAATTCATTTATAATAATTATCAACAATATTAAAGGTAAAAGGACAGTTATTTGGAAAAGGTATGCGGGCGAAAAATTTTTGCGTGCCGAAAAGTGCTACTTTCTGCTCGCAAATGCGTGTTGAAAGTGGGTTCTTTCTGCTTGCAGATGCGTGTTGAAAGTGGGTACTTTCAGCGCGCTGGTAGAAAAATGTATATTCCTCTTTTCTTTGACTATTTGTTTGTCGGTCAGTTTGTCTGTTGGCGTTTTTCTTACCGCGAAATGGTTGCCGAAGTTGGTGATGTGACGGGGGAATGTGGTATGGCCAAATACCAAACATAAAAACAACATTCGCCTTTGTGGAGATTTGCAATCTTAGAAAGTCCCAAATTTAATTTTTAGCAAGTTCCGCCACAATCTGTTTATTCTAAGTCGCAGCCAATAAAATTGTGGACAAAATAAAACATTAAGCCAAATGTATCTGCATTTTATAAGGAAGCCCACGGCAGACATGAAACACCTGGTAACTTGCGCAGTTTAAAGAAAATTTATACCTGACCGGAGAAAATACGACATCGCGTTGTAACATAACACTGAAATTAAGAATAAAGCTGATATGATCACAGCACATTCCGAAGCGAAGAAATGACATTTAAAGTAGGATAAAGTATGGCGGCAAGCGTGAAGCAAGTTCCAGGAGTTTATTTACACACGCGACATCGTGATATTTTTTACGGCCGTCCGTCCACCAAGTAGCTATCAAGGTGTCTCTGGAAGCACGGCATGTATGGCGATACTCATCGCCTCTGTCGCGATAACAACCGCCATAACAGCCGAGTCAAAGCCAAGTGAGCCAGTGGTGTGGATTAGAGATTTAAAGTTTCCGGAAAAATTGGGTGCCGGAAAAAAACCTGTTTTTTTCCGGAAAAATTGTAGGAAAAATACGGAAAAATTGAAATTTGTTACATACAAGATAAAAGTATTCTGGTTACTGATTTTTCCATTAATATAAATCAAACAGAAATAATTTGAATCAAAACCGCAAGCTACGGCTCTAAAGGTAAATACCCGTCGATTGTCGGTGAATCCCCCACCACTATAACTTTCGGTTAATTCCCGATCACGCACGGCGACACGGCATTTCGGTAAATCCCCGTATTCCTGAATTGTTCAGTTGAGAATGAGACTCTTCAATATTGAAACGTCTTGTTCATTTTAAAGCACGCATTTTAATTTAGCCTTATCATAAGCGCAGTAAATGAATAATACAAAGTGAAATTTTGCTGTAATAATTGATTGTGTTTGTTCTGAAGATTGTTAGTGTTGTTGACCCAAGTGTTTGTTTTGGTTTCTGGTAAGTGAATATTTTATTAAATTTGGAATAGCTTTAAGTGTTTTGAAGGTGTGATTTCAGTTTCCTTGCACATTTTCCTTACGTTTCTTTATTACTAATATCAAGATTCAGTAATAATAATTATTATCTGTATACTCATCAAATTACAAGAATTTGATGAGTTGATAAAGTGCAGCAAGATATGTTATTTATGTATTTTTTTCTTGCTGCAGGACAATATGGTTCGACCTCCTTAATTTAAATTAAACAAAAATATGGCAATGAAATACAATCGAGTTCGAAGTCTTCGACGTCAGAAGAAAAAGAAAGTAACAAAGATATCCTGCTAGAAGCATTAGAAGATACCAGTGTCCCTTCAACTAGCAAAAAGGACACGTCATCAATGTCATCATCTTCCGAACCTCCATTACCATCAGCAAAACGCAAGAAAGCTAGCTGCCAACAAAAATTGGGCGGGTTTTTCGATAAGATAGCTATTTCAGAGTCTTCTAAAATTGATGAAGCGTTAGCTAGGGCTCGTTATGCTTCTGGTGCTCCTTTTTCTGTTTTCAAAAATAAATATTGGGATCAGGTTTTTAAAATGTTAAGACCGTCATACCAAATACCTAGCCCTTACGCCCTGTCAACAAACTTACTTAATTCCGAGTATGAACGTGTACAGATAAACTGAAGTCAAAAACTTTCTGAATCCGACAGTTTATCAATAGTAACAGATAGTTGGACAAATATAGTCGGAGATGGATTAATCAATATTGTTATATGCACCTATACCTTTATTTTACAAAACTGTCCATCGTGGCACTGCAAAAGGAACGGGGACGTATATAAGTAATGAACTTATCAAAGTTATTCAAGAAATAGAGCCACAAATTTTTTTTTAATAGTGACTGACAATGCGAGCAATATGAAAGCTGCTTGGCATATTAGAAATACAACATATCCTCATATATCTTGTGTTGGTTGGGCAGCTCACACTCTGAATTTGCTACTAAAGGACTTTATGAAAGAAAATTTGTTTGAAAAAATAAGTAAAGAGTCTAAAAAAATTTGTAAATATTTTAAACAGCACCACATACTTTATGCAGCATTTAAAGAAGCACAGGCCGAAAAATACCCAAAAAATAAAGTAATTTCCCTCAAATTACCTGCAAAAACAAGATGGGGTTCTCTGTTTATAACTATTGATTCGCTTTTAAGAAATAAGGAAGCTCTGCAATGTACTGTATTAGTGTAAAACCTGAATGTAAAACAAAATATTAAAAAAGTTGTATTGGATCGTTTTGGCAAAACCTAGAATATACTAAACAAATCCTGCATCCTGTATCAAAATCGATAAATTTAGTAGAATCGGATAGATCTATATTATCAGAAGTGCCTTTTGTCTTTAAGTATATAAAAGACACAGTATTAGATATTCCCCAACAAGTTGACCTGACTAGTTCTCTTATCGAAAGCTTGCTGAAATATGTTGAAGAACGCTACGACTTTTGTTCTAAGCCGATTCACTTTACAGCCAATCTTCTTGATGCTCGCTTTAAAGGAGAAGAATTGAATGAAGACCAACTAATGGAAGCAATAGACTTCATTTCTGAAGTGGCTCGTTCACTAAATCTAGATGTAGGGAAGGTGGTGGCAAATCTAGCCCAATTTAGAACAAAAACTGGATTTTTTAGTCGAAATTCTTTATGGGATAGTGCGAATAGTACTCATCCCGTTATATGGTGGCAAGGCTTGTGTACATCGCAGCCACTTATGCCAATTGCCTCCCGAATTTTAAATGGACCGCCATCTTCCGCCTCTTCAGAAAGAAACTGGTCTTTTCAGTGCCTCATACATACAAGCAAAAGAAATAGATTATCACTGGATAAAGTTCAGGATCTGGTTGCTATTCATTCTAATTTGGTTATAAACGGAAAACAGACATTCGTTTACGACCAGTTCCACTTTTAGAAGGCACTGGCAAAGATTATGCTGTTTTGTGCGTCCATGAAGACGAAGCGAAGATCGAGTCTGAATCAGATGCTTGGTCTGAAGATTCAAACTCAGACTCAGATGAAAATATACCTTTGGTTAAATAATGCATTTTCTACCTTTGAAGCTTTGTTTTTGATACTTTCAATTATTAGATAATAATTATAATTTGACCCTATATACATGTATGTATTTATATCTTAGATATTAATAGATATTATTAAAGTATGTTTTTTGTATTTATTTTTACAAAATATGTTTAAAAAATTTTAAAATTGGTACCTATTTTTTACGTTTCAAGTCACAATTAAAAAATATTTAAATTCTCCCATTTTTTCCAATTTTTCCCATGGTCTGGAAAAAAACGGAAAGAAACGTGTTTTTTTCCTAATTTTTTCCGTTTTTTTCCGATATGTTAAATCTCTAGTGTGGATGCGATTTATCGGAAAGCAGATCCAAAGATCAATGGATTTTTTTAAACCGAAACAGCTGCACAGGCAGTAGCCTAAATGCTAAGGCACCGCCTGCTGAGGAACTTAAAGAAACTTTGTTAGTCCGATTTTTTAACTGCCTATGGTTATTAGAACTGGGAAAAGCTTGCACATGTACAGGGTGGGCCATTAGGTTGAGTGGATTTTGAAAAATCGTTGAAAAAAGACTACAAAGCGTATGGGAGGTAATTTGTATCTTTAATAAAGTAGACACAGGAATTTTATTTTTTTAAAACATCATCATTGAGATGGATATACGCACTACTCTAATCTCGACTTCAAATTCGTGAAAACTCGTTGGCACATTGCTCATGGGATAGCGGACATCTCGAAAATATTGTCGTTGGTTTTTCGACGTAAATGCAGCTTGGCGTATCCCAAAAAAAAAAAATCCAGTGTCCTGAGTTCTGGTCTCCGGTGAGGCCACCGAATGTCTCCTTTTCGCGATATCAGTTTTCTTTTATTTGATTACCAAATTTTCGGGTGACCCCATTTTTACAAGATAAAATCACGAAATGGGAACAACATTTACAACATGCAAGCTTACAAGACATAATTATAAAAATCACAATTTAAAAGGTAATTTTTAAAGGTAAAAATGTCAATATTAGACTGAGCTAAATAGCGCCAGCTAATATTACTATTTTTAATGTGCTAAAACCGGAATGAAACTTATTTTTTCAATATTAGTTCAAGTTTTAGAAATACGGTAATTATATGTGTTCCTGCTGTGACAATGTTAATATACCTACTGCAATTCACAAGAATGCACGTGCTACATTTTTATATTCGGCAAGGAAAGATGATGTAATCGGCATGATTGTGTTACGTTATACATACGTGTACATTATATTGTTTTATATTAGCCATTTTTTCCCCAGTTGGCTGACAGCGTTCATGCAAGTTCTCTCGAAAGTGTGTAAACAATCCAAATCAGTTTTGTTACGTGTGTGGTGATGTGACTTTTGCGTCTCAGAGACGGTCTATTACTCCACTAATAACAAAGGCATATCAGCTTTATTTCGGTTGTAAACTAGGTGATCAAGACAAACAGTGGGCACCCCACATCTGCTGTAATGCATGTGCTTCAAGTCTGAGAAGCTGGTTAAATGGCAAAAAACGGTCTATGCGCTTTGCTGTCCCAATGGTTTGGAGAGAGCCTACAAATCATATTAATGATTATTACTTTTGCATGGTACCTTGTGTTGGACAAGCCACAGGTATGTCCAAGAAAAAAAATCGGTTATTAACTACCCAAACATACCATCTGCGATGAGACATGTGCCTCACAGTGACGAAAATCCTATTCCAAAACCCCCGCAATCCTACACTTGCGAATCAGAAATCGAATCAGATCATGGCGATCGAGTGATTCGTCAGGAAGAAGATATGCCATCAACGTCAAGAGATCCTGATTTTATACCGAGCACGTCATGCCACCAGCCGCACAAAATTACCCAGTCAGAATTAAATGATCTTGTAAGAGATTTAGAACTTCCAAAATGTAAGGCAGAGTTACTTGGATCAAGACTGCAGCAGTGGAACTTGTTAGAAGACGATGTTTCGGTATGTGTTTTTCGTAAACGCCACAAAGACTTAGAACCATTTTTCAATATGGAGAATAACTTGGTTTTCTGCAGTAACATTATCGGCTTACTGGCGGCTTTAAATATAAACTATAACCCAGAAGAATGGAGATTATTTATAGACAAAATTGAGTTTAAAGGCAGTGTTATTGCATATTGGAAATATTTTACCACCTCTTCCTGTAGGGTATGCAGTTCACATGAAAGAATCATATGACAATATGAAGTACCTATTGACATGCATAAAATACGATGAGCACCAATGGCATATTTGTGGCGATTTGAAAGTTGTTGCACTTTTACTTGGGCTGCAGCTAGGCTACACAAAGTTTTGCTGTTTTTTGTGTGAATGGGACAGTCGGGCAAAGGCACTTCATTACACCAGACAAAACTGGCCTGTTCGTCAATTCCTAGAGCCAGGTCAAAAAAATGTACAGCATATGCCATTAGTAGATTCGAAAAAAATTTTATTACCACCACTGCATATCAAGTTGGGCCTAATGAAAAACTTTGTCAAGGCATTAGATAGAGATGGGTCAGCTTTTCAATACCTGCGTCAGAAATTTCGAAGACTAAGTGAGGCAAAGGTTAAAGAAGGTATTTTTGTTGGGCCACAGATTCGAAATATTTTGAAAGATACACAGTTTGAAAACACTTTAACAGGTATTGAAAAAACTGCTTGGAATGATTTCCGTCTAGTGGTCACTAATTTCTTGGGAAATAGAAAAGCTGACAACTATAAAACCCTTGTCAAAAATATGCTGTCATCGTATCAAAAGATGGGCTGTAATATGTCTCTTAAGATACATTTCCTACACTCACACCTGGACTTTTTTCCTGACAATTGCGGAGCCGTAAGTGATGAGCACGGCGAACGTTTTCATCAGGATATTTCAACAATGGAAAAAAGGTACCAGGGAAAGTGGAATCCTTCCATGCTTGCAGACTACTGTTAGACTCTTGGTAGAGATGCTCCAGAGACGATCCATAAAAGAACAGCAAAAATACAGCGCATATAGTGATTCTTATAAGTATATGAATCTTGTTACTTTTTTTAATATATCCTTAAAAATAAAAAGTTTTTTTTCTAAACCGCAACTAATTTTTTTATTTCATTGTCATTTTTGGATTCAGCGCCCCAAAATTAACAAAGAAGTGCACTTTTCCCACAAGATAGAATTAAAAAACTAAAATTTGTTGTCCAGTGATTTAATCAGGAACTCGTTTGTAGTCCAAATCTTCTCACATCTACTGAAAGCAGCCCAAAGCAAATGGCCATTTCATTATTCAATACCCTGAAGTTCTTGCCACTTAGCTTAATCAGAAACCAAATAACAACAATGTTAAAGCAGAAAACTTGCCATTCTGCTCCTTGCGGATGCTGTTTGTTCAATAATTGTTGCGTAACCAAGATATATTAGCTCTTACTTCCATAAACCATATATTAAATAACTTATATTTAACTTATTCATACTTGTTTAATTGTTTAGTTCATTTTCTTTTTCAATAATATGCCTAGAACACTGCTTCCATAGGTCTGTGGCAGCAATATGAGATACTGCATCTCTTATTGTAGCCAATAGCGATTCACTCAATTGAGGGGTCTGATTATGTTTTTTTACTTTTTTTTTAAAGCAGCCCAGACCAACTCAATCGGGTTAAAAATGCAGTAATAGGGAGGTAGACGTAATACTTCATGGCCATTTTGCTGAAGCACATTGTCAACAACATACTCTTTTTCCATTCCCTTATCCTTCATAAAATCAATAATGTCTTGTTTTTTTGTGCCTGTATTCGGAATTTTGTTTTTCTGTCGGGAATGGTATGGCGCATTGTCCATAATAATCACTGAATTTGGGGAAATGTTTGGTATTAACTGCTGCTCTATCCACTTTTCAAATAAGTCGGAGGTCATGTCCTCATGATAGTCGGCACATGATTCTTTGATATTTTTGGCAGATAACAGCAAGGCATTAGGTATAAATCCATTTTCACTGCCAGCATGGAGAATAATGATTCGTTTTCCACGGTTGCATGGTGCATTTAAAATGCACTTGTTGCTGTCGTCAACCCAGCCGTACTGCACAACATCATGGGTATCATACCACGTTTCATCCAGGTAAATCAGATTTTTTTTCTGCTCTCTATAGATTTTAACTTTGTGCAAAAATTCTTGGCGCAATTCAACGATTCGAGACGACTCCATAATCACCATTCTTTTATCTAATTTTTTGTATTGAAAACCACACAGTTTTACAATACACTGCAGTGAGTCTAAGCATTTGTAATTATAAAAATCTTCAGGATAATCTTTTAATTTATCCCGTATCATTTCCAACGTGGGCACCAAATTTTCTTTATAAAATCCGTATATTATACGACGAATATCTTCCTGAAAACCCACGTCTATTCTTTTTAATTTTTGCCCTATGCGCTTTCTGTGGAAGGAATGGTTGACTACATCTCCCCTTTTTATAACCCGATAAATGGTAGACCGACTGATTTTTGTTAGGATACAAATTCAGTTTAAAATTTGATTTTGCGAGGAATCTGGATTTTCCTTTTTCAGACAATCATACATATTTAGGATTACTCTTTGGGTCTGTTCCTCTAAATATTTATGAAAGAATTCTGCCTGCACAGGTTCATCAACCATCTCCTCGTGGCTTGGAGCATTTTCCCAAGGTCTTCAAAAAGCCATATGTAGGACACACAAGAACAATCAACACAACAATTAAATCAACAAGTAAACTGAGTATCCAAAAGTCAAAAACACACAAACTAATAAAATCTATGAAAAAGCACGGACAGACTAAAGAAAACACGTTTATTCACTGCTACACGGCACTGGCTAAACTGTTTCAATTTTCAGTAGCCACCTGCACTTGTTCGGAGCTCTGAAATACACGCTTTCTCATTGGCTATGTCCACGCATAGGCGTGCTTTACTCCACGTTGACCGGTGAAACTGCCTTTGATCTTATACGGGGGATATTTGCTGCGAAATTTGGCGATTTTTGCAGCAACAGAGCGTGTTAAATATAGATATATAAAACGTACCCGGTATTTCACAGTGTTTCTAGTGACTTCAGATAAAGTATACACCTATTAGCCATATTTCAGGCAGCATAGATTTCTCCGTACATTTGCAATTAAAACACTGATAGAGGAATGTTTTCGATCCGCGTACTCCTGCTATCCGAGCTCACCGCCCGGCGAACCGATCTGGATTACTAATGTATCTGTACATACGCGGACAAAGCGCGAAGCAAGCGATAACTCGCTGCAGCGATGCCAGATAGACGTGGAAAGGGACAACGTTGCCAGATGGACAGTAACTACCGGTAGGACAGAGAAAGAATGTCTATAGATTAATTGAATGGACCTGTTCGGCTGACTTGATCCGTTCAATTTTTCTGTTGTACATGTTCTTACTTAATCCTTTATGAACTGATGACGGCGTTAAACTACTTATCGCTATTTTATTGTGGCTGCGGTTACGGCAACGGCGCCCATCCGTGAAATCCGTCATTGTGTTCCTTTGGAGAAGGTAAAAATAGGTGTTGACAAGCAGCCTTGTTGCCAGTGAACCGCCGCGATGGACAGTCGCCGTCGGTCGGATCGTTGGCTTAGCTCTGACGGTGGCACGGATCGACAGAGCTGAGACGACAGTGCGAAACTTCTCAGGCCGCAAGTGACAGAACACGTTTGGGAACGCTCCGTCGCGTCGCCTGGATTGCTAAAGCCATCGGCACCCGTATTACGTAACAAAAAGTGACATTTGAGAGATTTTAGTGCAGTAAAAATAACGAATCTTTATTTTTCACAGCGACAGCAAATAATGAATGTCGACGAAATAAGCGTTTTTATGCCCAATAAAGTTAATCCTGGTAATTTGATAGTACTGATAGTAGTCGATAACAGTCATGACGAGCACTTGAGATGGAATTTGCACATTAGATACATTTACAAAAAAATTGAGACGCTTGATTCCAAGGTTCAGGCTTCTGAAACATACACAGCATTGGTCCAATCCTTATGGAATGGTGGGAATGAACTGGAGTAATCAACACATATTCAAAATACCTTGAGGTGTTGCAGAAATGGAATAATATATGAGAAAACATAGCATATCCCATGACCATGCTATACACCGAAACTTCCATGTTTATCAAACGCGCCACAAAGAACATAGTTTTGGGATCCCTCGAAGAAATAAAGCCGACAGAGGCACTTTCTAAACCAAAGCTAAACGATATGCTACACGTGAATCTTAGAAATAATATTACATCAGCATCGAGATTCAAAACTCAAATAAAGGAATGGATGATAGATAGTGGAAAAACGTTTTTCATTAACTATTTAATTATTTTTGTTATGAACCATATAGTGCAGTGCAGTGTAATGAAAATAGGGACTAGACTCCCACTGTGTATTCGACAATGTAACAAAATTAAACAATTAACTCCCATATAGACAAACTACTGATTCAGTGATTACTTATGTGTTATTTGATATCGATTTTGTCTTTCAAACACAGATATGACTATCACTAATAAAGATATATTGTTGTTGCTTATTTTTTCGATTTTGTCATGAAGGTAACCCTAAAATTCCAAAACCTTGCCAAATTCTTCTTTAGATAGGTTTCGGTAATATTTTGTGTATCCAAACCGGACAAGAAATGAATAGGTTTAGATTCATAGAACCAGGACGACGAGTGACCTTGAAACCAGCAGAACAGAACAGAAAATTAGTTTAGAACACTGTCTATTCCTTGAATTTGTTTTTACCTGTGATCTACTCGTACTTCTATTAGATTTTAACCAATATGCCTTTATAATTTGAAATTATTGTAGTTAACCTTATCCAGTTTTTCAAATTCCGGCAACAGTGCTGAATGAGGAGAATATAACCTCACAAAATAATCCCTCTTCTATTTTCCATAACTAACGCCCTAATTCGACATCGGATATAGCAGGATTGACTCGGTATTGCGCAAAATCGAAATAAGGGAGATCATAACGCAGCAGCAAATAAAAGCAGTAAGAAATCTCTATTATATCGATTTTAGATGGCATTATGTCGATTTTTCTGGAGGAATGTTATCTCGGAATTATCTATAATTCAGTTCATATCTACTTGTAGTGTGCGTGTTGCCTAAACTTCATGACACTTGAGTTATTTGTGATGTAACTCAGTGGCGGCTCGTGGCAAAATAAAACAGGTGTTCTGCAAATCCGAACTTACCTATTTTTTATATGTCAGTTCGATCATGTGCTGCTTATTGGCAGCAAATTTATCGATCACCTTCCCGTTGAAATTTTCCTTGGTCGAAATAAATTACTTTTCAATGGACGTCATCGACAATGCTGTAAGGCGATCCTGGGTCATAGTATTACGAAGAACAGTCTTGATTCTTTACAATGTTGAGAAATTTAGCTCAGCCTCTGATGCTGACATAGGAGTTGTAACAATAATTTCTAATAGCTTTTTTGTTTCTTTCTCCAGACTATTTTGTATCAAAGAGACAGAGTTCCATGTAAATCTCGGCAATCATTCCGTGCATAAATAACAGACAACTCTGTCTTTAAACGGCTATTTTCTAATTCGGGATAAGCCAAGCAGGTAGTTTCCAACTTGTCATCAGGAAACTTACCACAGTATTCTCCAAAGTTTTCAAGGGAAAAAAAAAGGGATGCGGCTACCAAATGAACTTTGAATTGAAATCTGTCATTTGCAGAATTCACTATATTGTCGCATACTTCTAATGCGGCAACTCGGTGATCGCGACTGCTATTATTACGTCGTCTCCTTTTGTTGCCTTGGGGTTCAGTGCAAATACTTTTGGCTTCATTTGTTATATCATCAATTCTATTTCTCTCTACGACAATACATTTTTCAAAATTATCGGTAGCCGTTTTAACTTGCGCTGGCTCGGATTTTCTCTTCTGCAACTGGTTGAACAAGATGTCGACGTAAGGCATGACATGATGAAAAAATGTCAACCAAAACGCGAGAGAGAATCGTTTAACATACGGCGAATTCCGCAAGCTGTCTTGCAAACGGTTTCATTAGTGAAATTTTCTTCTATTTCTTCCATGCATTTAATGAGAGATTCTCTGTTCTCAAACACTACATTTATTGTTCGAATATTAAAATTCCTACGAGTTGTTGCTCCTTGTGGAATTTTTTCCCCACAATTCTGTTCAGTACCTCTACGCGTTGAGGAGAATTATTAAAAAATCCCGGAATATCTTTCAAATCCCCAAAGAACACCCGAGCTTGAGCATTTGAGGAAGCAGCTTGGGACATAATCAGGTTTAACTGATGCACATATCAATGCACATAGTGAGCAAATGGATATCCTTGTTTAATTTTTGCCTGTACTCCAGCATTATGTCCGCTCATTACCGCGGATCTATCAAAGCTTTGTGAAATCAGTTTGCTAGGGAAATTTCCTATTAATGGATCTACGACGCTCAAAATATGTCTTGTGAGAGTATCAGCGTCACATTTTTCGGGATTCATATAATTCCAAAAACGTTCTACTGGTTCGCCGTTAAATACGTATCTGAAAATTGTTACCAGTTGGGTTTTCCCCGAAATGTCCGCTGTTTCATCTGCTATTATTGTCAAATACGAGTCTCTTTTAATCTGTTTTATTATTTCTTCATGACAAACATCAAGAATACAGTCCAGTAGATCGTTTTGTATCTCTTTCGAAGTTCCTTTAAATATTGAAGCATTTTTTATGTGTTCGCTTAAGGTTGTATCAGCAGAAAAATTTATCAGTCCACGAAATATTCTCAGGTTTTGGGAGCTCTCGGTTCCGTCGTGACCCCGTAGCACCGATTCAAATGCTCCGCAAAATTTTATACAATCGATTATTTTTGATAGAGCGTGCCTGTTTTTTGTAACGGTATCATTATACTGTTATATATTTATCCAAAATGCTGAATCTAACTGAGCTCTGATGTTAGTCCCCAAAAAAGCCAATTCCATCGAATTATGAAGATGTGTTTTAGAGTTTTCATGATTCTTAAGTTTTTCACTCAGCTGGTGTAAATCTCCCTGCTGAAATGACGCGTACAGCCCTTGCCCCGACTAACGCCCTCTGATTCTATAAATATGTCCGGCAGCGGTCGACCTGACACCTTCAGCTCAATTTTTTCTTCAAATGTGTATTTCCAGAATCGTTTCACGCTGATAAGTCTGTTACATTGTAACTTCTGCTTCAGAGAGCACTAGCGGAGGCAATTTACAGCTTCTATGGCTTATTCTATAAATTGTATACTGTGCTGGTTGTTGCATTCCCCCATAGGTGGCGTTCCAGCGAGTGTGCCTAAACCAGCGACTAGGAAGCATACCTACAAGTTGACATTGAATCGATATTTCACGTAATACCCCTGCGGAAATTAGGAGCCCTGCATTTTTTCATACTACTGTTGCACTCGTGCATTTTTTACGTTCGTTTGACAAAATTAGTGCATACAGAGTGCTTCAGAAAGAAGTGGCAACATTGCAAAGACAGGGACGGTGTTAATTGAGTATGTACCATAAATTTAACAGACCATTCTTGTGGGGAATTTTAAGACAAAAGGTTCATACAAACATAAGTCCGCAAACTTTTTGTTCTTAAGATGCAGGGTGTTAAAGTTTAAATAAAAAATGGTTTTTCGAAAATTTCTTAAATGTCCTTCACTTAATTTTGTTGTAATTTGGTGCTGGTATTTATAACACTAAGGAGCTAATTTAACCCCGACTTGCTTAAATTTATTAAGTCCAGTGGCTTCTCGAGCGGGATCTGAACGACTATTTGTGACAAAAAATGTACGCTACTGACTTTTATGCAATTTTTCTTATATTCTTTAGATTAAGCAAATAGAAATACTTTTTGTCTCTGAATTTTTGCCGTATCTTGTTTAATTTTCTAGAAAAAAAAAGGATTACTTAATTGTATATCCTTGGACCACACAAGGAAAATGGGGAAAAGTTTTTTTTGGAAATTATTATTTTTTTCTTAATATTTTATTACTAATTGTGTAACAACAACTACTACTAAATAACATTAACATTGGTTGTGATAACAAAATTATAAAAAAAAGATGATTTCCAATCGAACTTTTCCCCATATTATTATTCCTTGTGTGCTCCAGGGACATGCAATTAAGTTTTTTTTTCTCGAAAACTAAGCAAGACACGGAAAAAAGTCAAGAGACGAAAAACTTGTATTTTTATTTCTTTAATCCAAGGAACGTAAAAGTTGCACAGAATTCGGTGGCGTATATTTTTTTGTCACAAATGTTCGTCCAGAGTCCTCTCGAGACGCCACTGGACTTAATAAATTTAATCAAGCTAAGGCTAAATTGGCTTGTTGATGTTATAAATATCACTACCAAATTACAACAGACTTAGATAAAGGATATTTAAGAAACTTACGAAAAACCATTTTTTTCAAATCTTAACACCGTGTATCTTGAGACTTGGGAATTTCCGGATCTACATATGTTTGTATGAACTTTTTGTCTTAAAATTGCTCAAAGAATGTTTTTTACAGACTCAAAACTGTCTAATAGGGTAATTAATGACACAAAAAGCCCATAAATTCATAATATTGCCCAAGGGGCATAAATAAAAAAATGTTTTAGTTAATATTAGCATAAGTCACTGCGAAAGTGACGCAAAACCCGCTAAACTCAACATATCCGACTTTTTACAGGCCTTCGTCTCCGAGGTATCCCAAAAATGTTATCAAGACTGAAACAGTGAAGTTAACATGTACACACTTTACTAGATATCTCCACTCTTTGGTAACAATACCAATTAAATAATCGGCTAAATTAACAAAACAATCTCCAAGGTTTTTGAGTTGAAGAGAATATTTCTTCACGCATCAATTAATTACAATCAGCGGCCGCGGCTGCACCTGCTTTGAAATTAACTCGTTATTTTTATTTATTTTGTAACGCGGCATGGGTGATGGGTGCACTCATTAGCTACGATTTATTTATTTATTTCCTTTGGTGGTCATTTCAAAACGAAGAAGGTTGTAACTGTGCTTACTGTAATTATTCTTATTATGCAGATGTAATATAAAACTAATTTATAGTTTTGCAGGTGCCAGGTGCACTGAGTGAGGCATCTAGTGTTTTCACCTCGTACTTTTTTTATACTCCAACTACCACGAAGGCCTAAGACCTAAACACCCATTAGGTACCGTGGGGCTATAGATTAATGCAGGGGAAGGGGCATCGCCACACGGACTCTGGGAGGGAACACGTGTACATGCAACATGTACACATTCTGGCTCCGCCTACAACATCCGCCGGGTGGTACCTCCGCGTCCGACAGTCGGAGACCGTCTACCACCTACGGACAATCACAACATCCATAGCCAAGAGAAAAATTCCTCCTGGGACGGGATTCGACCCGCACAGCGCACGGCGACTGATTAGGAGGCCGAAGAGTCTACTACTGCGGCCACCGCTGCTGCCTACTGCTACCAATCGAGGCAATCTGTCAAAACTGATATAGTTTTCGGGGAAATGGGAAGTGGACTACATTTTTGAATGATACGTGCACCACGAATAATCCATTTCCTGCCACTCCCTTGTGTAGCTGTTTATCTGTTGTTTATCTGCTGTCAACAAAACATTACCTTCTTGCCAAGCACGAGAAGTCTTGAGAAACCGTCCCGTAGAACTGATAATCTGATTTTCTATAGCTTGCTCAGAAGAAACTTTGGCATAGGGTAGGTGAAGATCGGCCCAGTCATGGCGGAGTTAAAAGCGAAAATCGAATATTTCAAAATGTATCAAAATTTCGTATATCGATCTTTTCCAGCTCTTTGGTTACTCGACGACGAGCTTAAATAGTTTCTAAGTACCTCAAAAACTTTGAAATTTGATCTGCATAATAATTGATTTTATTCAAATTACTTAGCGTACATGAAACGTCAACGGGAAGAGGACAGATTTACATAAGTAACAGAAAAATATACATGATTAAGCTAGAATAAAATAGGTTATAACAAGTTATAAAATAAGCAGCACAAGATTATGCTTGGAAGAACAAATAGTTAAATAATGAAATGAATATGAAAAACTGTCCAAATTAGACGCTAGTAAAGGACTTGGAGCTGATGGTGTACCTCCGTTGTTGATTAAACATTGACGCTTTCTCATTTCTACACCTCTATATTATATTTTTAAGATTTCGTTGAAAAGTGGAACTTTTCCGGGATGTTGGAAAACAAGCTTCATTACTCCAATACTGAAATCTGGAGATCCTTCACAAGTCAAAAATTATAGACCTATCAGTAAACTGAGTTGCAGTGGAATAGTGTTTGAGAGCCTAGCGCGTGAATTTTTATCCGCAAATTTACAAAGTAGTTATAAGCCAACAGTTTGTGTTTCTTTCAAAACGCTCCACAGAGTTAAATCTTTCAACATTCACAAACTATGTTTTGGACTCCTTGGGGGAAGGTTATTCTGTTCACCTAGTTTATACAGATTTCTCTAAAGCATTCGATAAGGTCAACCATGAGATCTTGATTAATAAGTTACATTGTGTAGGAAATTGCGGGCATCTTTTACCATGGCTGAAGTCTTACCTCACTGACCGAAAACAAATAGAGCGCATACCAAGCTTTCAATCAAATGAGATTAATGTGCCATCTGGAGTACCTCAAGGTTCCCATCTGGGTCCTCTTCTTTTCAATATATACGTGAAACATATTATATACTGTTTTAAGTCTGTTAGTTTGCAGATGATTTGAAATTATTCTTAACAATCAAATATAATAATGATCGTTTAAATAAATATCCAAAATGATTTGAATTCATTAAGTCTCTGGTGTCAAATGAATAGAATGGAACTTAATGTGGAGAAATCTCATTTAATGGTCTTCAGCCGTAACAGGTAAACCAATGATCATACTTATACCATGAAAGGTTGTCCTCTAAAGAGTGTATCCCAAGTTAGGGACTTAGGGGTAAATCTTGTCCCAAAATTATCCTTTATTACCCATATAAAGATGATTGTTTCTAAGTCTCTTCAACTGTTGGGATTTATAAAGCGCTGTGCTGAGGATTTTCAAAATATTCAGTCATTTAACACGTTGTTTTGTTCTTTGGTGGGGCCCCATTTGCAGTATTGTTCTTGTGTTTGCTCACCCAACTAAAATTTTCATATTCACGCAATTGAGAGAGTGCAACATACATTCTTAAGATTCATTTCATTCAAACAAAACATTATGGTTCAAGAT